GTTCGTGCTTGGATGGTACGCCAAACTGAGACCTTGTGATGAGCTGAGTAGACACACAAAGTTCCTCCAAAATCGAGCTGTAAATTGAACTCCCCGATCTGATATGATCCTACGTGGGGCCCCATGGAGACGATAAACATGGGTTAAAAACATGCGAGCTAACCTTTGGGCCGATGGCAATCCCTTGCAAGGAATAAAATGAGCCTGTTTAGAAAACAGATCAATCACTGTCCAAATTACTGTGTATCCTTTGCTATCAAGAAGATCCACGATAAAGTCCATGGCTATATCCTGCAATGGATACTCTGGATCAGCCACAGACTGCAGAAGTCCCAAAGGTTTACCTGGATTTGGAGATAGCACATACTGGGCAACTTTTTACATACCTTTCTAGGTCAATTCTCATTTGAGGCCACTAGAATTGGCGTCTAGCGAGATGCAAAGTTTTTAAAAATCCGAAGTGGCCTGTTTGTTTGGAATCATGGCATCGATGGAGGACACGGTTGCATAATGTATGTGGCACATACAGTTTAGTCCCATACCAGGCCAGCCCATCCTGCTGAGTTAACAACCCCTGGTGCTTCTGAAACCAAATATCGTTTGAGAGGGCTGCCTTTAGTTCATCTTCCAGATCCACAGCAATCGTACGGGATACTGCTTTGGCGACACCCTGCGTATAAGGAGGTAGGATCACCTGCACCACCTCCTCCCGTTTACTATCATACTGTGGCAACCTGGACAATGCATCTGCTAGAAAGTTTCGGCTGCCTGGTACATGTTTAAGGTGAAACCTGAAACGCCGAAAGTACTGTGCCCAACACACGTGTTTTGGTGATAGTCTTCTTGGGGTCTGTAACACCTCTAAGTTTAATATGTCATCCAAATAGACCAAAACTCCACGATACAGATGTTTGTGTAATACCCCATTGATTAGCTGCATAAAAACAGCAGGGGCGCTCAAAGGGCATAACCCAGAATTGATACCTCCCCAGGGGCAGTTGAAGGCTGTCTTCCATTCATCACCAGGTTTAATTCTAACCCAGTAATAAGCCTCCCTCAGATTCAGTTTTGTAAAAATCCTCCCCTGGGCTAGATGGGCTAACATGTCCTTCATTAAAGGAGGGGTACATGTGTTCTATACAGACCGCATTAATGCCCCTGAAGTCCACACAAAGCCAAAGGCCTCCGTCTTTTTTCTCTTGGAACAATACAGGAGCTGCAATCTGCGACCGGGCCAGTTGTATGAAACCTCATGCTAAATTCTTGTCGATATACTTCCTCAACTCTTCCAGCTCCCGGGGTGTCATGGGATACATACATGGCTTTGGCAATTTAGCTCCCGGCAGGATGTCAATCGCACAATCGGTGGAACGGTGGAACCCTTAACCTACCAGCCGCATGTTGGAATTCTTGTACGTATTCCCGTACTGGCCTCCCCTTCTGTCACAGTCCTATGATCTCCGTTTCAGCACGTTGAACCCGAGTGGGGTCTTCAAAGCGGGCTCTCAGTGCATCAAGAAACAGTCCAACATCACCCAACTTCCAGGCATGATCACTAAACAGATCAGCAGCCCAGGCAGCTGCCTCCCCCTGTAGGCTTGCCGTTATGGCCACAACAATAGCCCATTGGGAGGAATACTGTGGTGCAAACCTATCTAGGTGACTTAGGACATGTCCCATAAACATCGCCAGTCTATCTGGGTCTCCATCAAATGTCACCCCAATAGAGGGAGAGACCCAAGCTACCCCTGCTGGCCACATAGCGGCAGCCTGTCCAACCTGCTGACTGTGGCCTGGTGCGGTGATATGACGGCTCCCTGTACCTAATGCCCCTGAGCCTAGAGGATGGGAAAATGATGTAGAGTGGCTTGTGGCCATGCCAGTTTGGTCCTCTGCCTTTGTTGGCCCTGGTCCAGCCGAAATCGTGGACTGGCTAGACAGAACCCAGAACAGCCCCTTGGGTCCTGGGAACCTGGAGTACCTCCTGACCTGGGTAAAAACCCCGTTTCTCCAAATCTGTCACGAAGGACGTCCAAGGTATACTGCCCAGGTGCCGTAGAATAACTCCACTCTTCGTCTTCATCACCCGTGACACGTCTCTCCCTCCATCCGGATAGAGGGTCTCTTCCCCCAGTTACATAAGGGCCGCCAGCCTCCGAGTGTTGTAAAGCTGAACTCAACCACCATTCCCCCAAAGATGTTACAATTGGCTTCTTAGTCTCACCCCCGCTATCCGCCGGCTGCTGGGCACGCTCCTTAGGTCTCACCACCGGTAAAGCCTCTGTCGCCCCCACCTCGGTGACCGTTCCCTTGTCTGCAGGTGATTCCGGAATCTCCCCCACGGGATCAGCATCCTGGACTCCCTCTGCCATAACTGCTCCAAACAACCCCCTTACAGATGGAGAAGAAAGGGAACTTTCAAGCAAACAAGAAGAAATGTGAGTGCTGACTTACTGTTGCGTCATCCTAGCCTGATGTTTCGTTATGCAAAAGGAAAACAAACCCACGAGCAGGAACGATGAACGAACTTTACTAGGAAGTGAAGCTTGAGGAAAGTCAGCACTGGGAATCACTCGTTCCCAGAACCTTTACATAGTGATCCTATGCGCCACGCCCTTAATTAACCCAGCACCACCCATCCAATACTCGGTAAGCCACCATCCGGCTCCCAAACGTAAAACCACACCCTTGCATCATTAGGCCCTCCCGTCAAGCAGCTATCCATGCGTCTGTGAGTGTGAAACTCAGAAACCCCTCCGTTCGCTGGCCATAAAGCTGTGCATTGACCTCATTCTAACGTCGGTCCTCTGCTAGGCTCGGAGACCCCTCCGTTCGCTGGCCATACATCTGTGCGTTGTCCTCATTCTAATGTCGGGCTTCTGCGAGGCTCTGAAACTCTGCCGTTCACTCTTCCATGCAGATGTCGAATGATGACGTCATAGGAAGTCTGCAACAGCTTCGGACCTCTGAGGACGGTCGACCAGGATGGAAACAGGTATACCGGAGGGTGATGGGGTTGCCGGGGAAGTGTCTACTATGCTCTGGTGCCTCGCAGGGCACGACAATGGCCAAATATTTTCACCAAGCTATACAGCTGTGCAAAACTTAGATGTGACATTTTATTATCCTACTGTTTTTTTTTCTTTCCCAATAACAGATTGCTGTGTCAAACTCTCTTTATTACTGTAAAGGCTGGTCAAAGGCTAATAAAGAGATTTGATTTGAATCCGTTCAATATCACAAGTTGAAGAAATAGCCTAACTATGAATGAGTCTACAACTGAGGGGGGAATCAAAAAATAAGGTGGGCAGGCTGCCACTCAAGAGGAAGAAAATCATTGAAGGAAGCACCCACTCCCTTCCCTCGAGGCACTGTGACTTTGAAGCAGAATAAAACGGCAAACCTCACAATGTACTTCTCTCTGTCTTTATCTGAAATGATCAGCCTCACCCCTACTGACTCCTTTGAAGGAAAAGGTTTATTCAGTCTGGAAGTCCAATAATTGGGGAATTTAAGGTGCTGTCTACAGACAGGTACGAGAATGAAATACAGGTAATTGTCCATTTACAACAGTTCATTTAGTGACCATTCGAAGTTACAACAGCACTGAAAAAGTGACTTATGACCATTTTTCACATTTATGACTGTTGTAGCATCCCCATAGTCTCATGATCAAAATTCAGACATATTTATGACCATTGCAGTGCCCCGGGGTCACGTGATCACCTTTTGTGACCTTCTGACAAACAAAGATTCACTTAACAACCATGTTTCTGACAATAATGCAGTGATTCACTTAACAACTGTGGCAAGAAAGGTCATAAAATGGGGCAAAGCTCACTTAACAGATATCTCACTTAGCAACATAAATGTTGGGCTCATTTATTGTCATAAGTCAAGGACTACCTGCATAATTTCCTTGAAGATGCACTTGATCCCTTAGTGGACACGGTCATGAAGTTTCTTCAGCAAAATGATGGAAGTTCTTTGTGATTGTCTTATGTGATGCACACATACCCTTTTTCACAGTCTATTTTGGATGCTGGAAATCGCCTGTTCTGCAGCCCCGTTCGTGCTTGGATGGTACGCCAAACTGAGACCTTGTGATGAGCTGAGTAGACACACAAAGTTCCTCCAAAATCGAGCTGTAAATTGAACTCCCCGATCTGATATGATCCTACGTGGGGCCCCATGGAGACGATAAACATGGGTTAAAAACATGCGAGCTAACCTTTGGGCCGATGGCAATCCCTTGCAAGGAATAAAATGAGCCTGTTTAGAAAACAGATCAATCACTGTCCAAATTACTGTGTATCCTTTGCTATCAAGAAGATCCACGATAAAGTCCATGGCTATATCCTGCAATGGATACTCTGGATCAGCCACAGACTGCAGAAGTCCCAAAGGTTTACCTGGATTTGGAGATAGCACATACTGGGCAACTTTTTACATACCTTTCTAGGTCAATTCTCATTTGAGGCCACTAGAATTGGCGTCTAGCGAGATGCAAAGTTTTTAAAAATCCGAAGTGGCCTGTTTGTTTGGAATCATGGCATCGATGGAGGACACGGTTGCATAATGTATGTGGCACATACAGTTTAGTCCCATACCAGGCCAGCCCATCCTGCTGAGTTAACAACCCCTGGTGCTTCTGAAACCAAATATCGTTTGAGAGGGCTGCCTTTAGTTCATCTTCCAGATCCACAGCAATCGTACGGGATACTGCTTTGGCGACACCCTGCGTATAAGGAGGTAGGATCACCTGCACCACCTCCTCCCGTTTACTATCATACTGTGGCAACCTGGACAATGCATCTGCTAGAAAGTTTCGGCTGCCTGGTACATGTTTAAGGTGAAACCTGAAACGCCGAAAGTACTGTGCCCAACACACGTGTTTTGGTGATAGTCTTCTTGGGGTCTGTAACACCTCTAAGTTTAATATGTCATCCAAATAGACCAAAACTCCACGATACAGATGTTTGTGTAATACCCCATTGATTAGCTGCATAAAAACAGCAGGGGCGCTCAAAGGGCATAACCCAGAATTGATACCTCCCCAGGGGCAGTTGAAGGCTGTCTTCCATTCATCACCAGGTTTAATTCTAACCCAGTAATAAGCCTCCCTCAGATTCAGTTTTGTAAAAATCCTCCCCTGGGCTAGATGGGCTAACATGTCCTTCATTAAAGGAGGGGTACATGTGTTCTATACAGACCGCATTAATGCCCCTGAAGTCCACACAAAGCCAAAGGCCTCCGTCTTTTTTCTCTTGGAACAATACAGGAGCTGCAATCTGCGACCGGGCCAGTTGTATGAAACCTCATGCTAAATTCTTGTCGATATACTTCCTCAACTCTTCCAGCTCCCGGGGTGTCATGGGATACATACATGGCTTTGGCAATTTAGCTCCCGGCAGGATGTCAATCGCACAATCGGTGGAACGGTGGAACCCTTAACCTACCAGCCGCATGTTGGAATTCTTGTACGTATTCCCGTACTGGCCTCCCCTTCTGTCACAGTCCTATGATCTCCGTTTCAGCACGTTGAACCCGAGTGGGGTCTTCAAAGCGGGCTCTCAGTGCATCAAGAAACAGTCCAACATCACCCAACTTCCAGGCATGATCACTAAACAGATCAGCAGCCCAGGCAGCTGCCTCCCCCTGTAGGCTTGCCGTTATGGCCACAACAATAGCCCATTGGGAGGAATACTGTGGTGCAAACCTATCTAGGTGACTTAGGACATGTCCCATAAACATCGCCAGTCTATCTGGGTCTCCATCAAATGTCACCCCAATAGAGGGAGAGACCCAAGCTACCCCTGCTGGCCACATAGCGGCAGCCTGTCCAACCTGCTGACTGTGGCCTGGTGCGGTGATATGACGGCTCCCTGTACCTAATGCCCCTGAGCCTAGAGGATGGGAAAATGATGTAGAGTGGCTTGTGGCCATGCCAGTTTGGTCCTCTGCCTTTGTTGGCCCTGGTCCAGCCGAAATCGTGGACTGGCTAGACAGAACCCAGAACAGCCCCTTGGGTCCTGGGAACCTGGAGTACCTCCTGACCTGGGTAAAAACCCCGTTTCTCCAAATCTGTCACGAAGGACGTCCAAGGTATACTGCCCAGGTGCCGTAGAATAACTCCACTCTTCGTCTTCATCACCCGTGACACGTCTCTCCCTCCATCCGGATAGAGGGTCTCTTCCCCCAGTTACATAAGGGCCGCCAGCCTCCGAGTGTTGTAAAGCTGAACTCAACCACCATTCCCCCAAAGATGTTACAATTGGCTTCTTAGTCTCACCCCCGCTATCCGCCGGCTGCTGGGCACGCTCCTTAGGTCTCACCACCGGTAAAGCCTCTGTCGCCCCCACCTCGGTGACCGTTCCCTTGTCTGCAGGTGATTCCGGAATCTCCCCCACGGGATCAGCATCCTGGACTCCCTCTGCCATAACTGCTCCAAACAACCCCCTTACAGATGGAGAAGAAAGGGAACTTTCAAGCAAACAAGAAGAAATGTGAGTGCTGACTTACTGTTGCGTCATCCTAGCCTGATGTTTCGTTATGCAAAAGGAAAACAAACCCACGAGCAGGAACGATGAACGAACTTTACTAGGAAGTGAAGCTTGAGGAAAGTCAGCACTGGGAATCACTCGTTCCCAGAACCTTTACATAGTGATCCTATGCGCCACGCCCTTAATTAACCCAGCACCACCCATCCAATACTCGGTAAGCCACCATCCGGCTCCCAAACGTAAAACCACACCCTTGCATCATTAGGCCCTCCCGTCAAGCAGCTATCCATGCGTCTGTGAGTGTGAAACTCAGAAACCCCTCCGTTCGCTGGCCATAAAGCTGTGCATTGACCTCATTCTAACGTCGGTCCTCTGCTAGGCTCGGAGACCCCTCCGTTCGCTGGCCATACATCTGTGCGTTGTCCTCATTCTAATGTCGGGCTTCTGCGAGGCTCTGAAACTCTGCCGTTCACTCTTCCATGCAGATGTCGAATGATGACGTCATAGGAAGTCTGCAACAGCTTCGGACCTCTGAGGACGGTCGACCAGGATGGAAACAGGTATACCGGAGGGTGATGGGGTTGCCGGGGACGTGTCTACTATGCTCTGGTGCCTCGCAGGGCACGACAATGGCCAAATATTTTCACCAAGCTATACAGCTGTGCAAAACTTAGATGTGACATTTTATTATCCTACTGTTTTTTTTTCTTTCCCAATAACAGATTGCTGTGTCAAACTCTCTTTATTACTGTAAAGGCTGGTCAAAGGCTAATAAAGAGATTTGATTTGAATCCGTTCAATATCACAAGTTGAAGAAATAGCCTAACTATGAATGAGTCTACAACTGAGGGGGGAATCAAAAAATAAGGTGGGCAGGCTGCCACTCAAGAGGAAGAAAATCATTGAAGGAAGCACCCACTCCCTTCCCTCGAGGCACTGTGACTTTGAAGCAGAATAAAACGGCAAACCTCACAATGTACTTCTCTCTGTCTTTATCTGAAATGATCAGCCTCACCCCTACTGACTCCTTTGAAGGAAAAGGTTTATTCAGTCTGGAAGTCCAATAATTGGGGAATTTAAGGTGCTGTCTACAGACAGGTACGAGAATGAAATACAGGTAATTGTCCATTTACAACAGTTCATTTAGTGACCATTCGAAGTTACAACAGCACTGAAAAAGTGACTTATGACCATTTTTCACATTTATGACTGTTGTAGCATCCCCATAGTCTCATGATCAAAATTCAGACATATTTATGACCATTGCAGTGCCCCGGGGTCACGTGATCACCTTTTGTGACCTTCTGACAAACAAAGATTCACTTAACAACCATGTTTCTGACAATAATGCAGTGATTCACTTAACAACTGTGGCAAGAAAGGTCATAAAATGGGGCAAAGCTCACTTAACAGATATCTCACTTAGCAACATAAATGTTGGGCTCATTTATTGTCATAAGTCAAGGACTACCTGCATAATTTCCTTGAAGATGCACTTGATCCCTTAGTGGACACGGTCATGAAGTTTCTTCAGCAAAATGATGGAAGTTCTTTGTGATTGTCTTATGTGATGCACACATACCCTTTTTCACAGTCTATTTTGGATGCTGGAAATCTCTTGCGGTCTCTCATCCCTATCCATCCCTGCTTAGCTTTCTCAATTTCAGTGAAAGTTGGCTAAGAAGCGGCCCCTGCTGTGACTGACAGCTGAGCCGATTTTAAATTTGAGAAAATCCAGCCATCAACAAAAGGAAAATCGGTGTAAATGAACACAAATTCTGTTGATTAATGAGGGACTACATTCAGCTGTCACTCTGAATCATTCCAGTTTTCTTAACATGTGATATCATTGCAAGCTTTTCCTTTTCAATGTGCTGATAAAAAGTTTTGGGTTCATTTATTGTACAGATTTATGCTGATTATTTTTAATAATGGTCATCTTTCTTCTCTAGTGTCAATGGTAGGTAAAATAAGAGAAGCATATTGGTCTGTAAAGCAAAAAGTTAGGAGGAAATTTGTTTTGTTAGTCAGAAAAGGGGCTGCCAGATTCTCCCTGCTAGGCAGAATTGTTCTTTCTGACTTGGCTAGATTAGCTGTACAGTTAAAAAATATATATATATAATAATAGGCTCATGGGAGGACGGGGTGGTGAAATGGCCAAATTCCATCCTGCATGCAATATTTTTTGAAATATGAAAATGTTCCCTGTGCTCAATCTCTAGAGAGCAGCAGAAGTTAGCCTGCGGTTTCTTTATTAAAACATTCATCAATGTATAATGCCAGTTTCACAGACTGATGTTTCGGGGCTCTGCTAAAACATTTTACTCTGCTAGTCCAGATGAAACTGGCACCATGCTGACCCCAATGGTGTAAACACTGCTGGGCAGAGGGCATCCACGAACCATATATATACATGATTGCATGTGATCTCCTTTTGTGACCTTCTGACCAGCAAAGTCTATGAGGAAGCCAGATTCACTTAACAATCATGATACTAACTTAACAACCGCAGTGATTCATTTAACAACTGTGGCAAGAAAGGTTGTAAAATGGGGCAAAACTAACTTAACATATATCTCATTTAACAACATAAATTTTAGGCTCAGTTGTGGTTGTAAGTCAAGGAATACATATACATATACAACACATACACACATACACATACACATATTGTGTGCGTGTATGTATATATGTGGAATTGCTAAGTTAAATGGTCATCATGTAACCCGACCTAATTTTATGACCATTTTTACTATGGTTGTTAAGCTAATCTCATGCTCATTAAGTGAATCTGGCTTCCCCAGCTAACTTTGCTTGTTGGAAGCCATCTGGGAAGGTTGCAAATTGACCACATGACACTGGAATCATTGTAAATGCAAACCGGTTGCCAAGCTCCGAGACTGTAACAAGGTGACCATGGTAATGGTATAAAGGGTGTCACTTTGTGGATAGATCATAAGTCACTTTTTCTGAGACTGTTGTAACTTCAAACTGTTTTAAACGTATGGTCATAAATCAGGACTGCTGTTGTCAACATCTGCTCCCCATACCCCCTGGTTCTCATATATACAATATATTATACAATATGACAAGTATAAATATTTACAGTGGGGCTTTTAAGTGGTGGTGGGAAGCCTAAATGCTTATAAACACCACAACTGATAGAGGGATTAAAAAGGGATGTGTGTGAATTAGAAGCCAATGACTCTTTTTACTTTTTTGGGTTATTTTGTTGGTGTTTGTTTCTTTTTTAATATGCACAAACAATAAATAACAATAATATAGAGGCCTTAGTATTAAGTATTAAGCAGACACCCATATTATATAAGCAGCTGTTTATTAATTTCACATTTAGCTTTAGCTGTAAAATGCCAGTTCCCCAATAATATAATGTATAGTTGTATTTTACAATAATAGAACAATATGTTTTTTAAAAAAATAAGAAAAAATACTCCTTCCTTCCAAATCCTCATTGGTCCTCATATATTGACAACAATAAGCACAGACCTCTAGACAGTGTTTCTTAAAGTATGGTCTGAAAAATCACAGTTAGGGGTCCCACCATGACTATCTCAGGGGTCTGCAAAATCAAAATTTGCCAGTTTATGTTGAACAATACAATATTGAGATCCCATAAAACAACTGTGAGAAGCAACAGTGACAGCAAATTCATCGATTTTAATTTCTAATATGGTAAATATTGATAAATATAATCCTTAAAAGCAAATACTCTTTTGGGGTCATTTTTAAAAGTGGAAGGGGTCCTGAAAGATTTTTTTTTTTAAGAAAATCCTAGATTATTATTTATCGCATGTCACCCACTAAGCCTGCTTTCTCCCAGCTGTACCTATTTCAGATGACATACTTTTATCCATACAGTGTTTGTTTCTGACCATGGACGACAGGAGAACTTTGCAGAGAAATATTTTGGAAATCTAAATAATGTTTCCAACAACCTTCTCATATTAAGGATCTTTACAACCTGAGAATTACACACAGTTGAAGGGTCTCGTTGTACATTGTATTCTTATATTTCACAACCTTTCTTGCAGTTGCTCCTATGCAAGGTGTGGTGTTCACTGACCATAACAGTAAATTTAATGATTTTGAGTAGAACAAATGTTTGTGGTGAAATCTTGTATATGTTTACTCAGAATGGTGCCTGTACTGGTAACTTGGGGTAAAACAGTAGGTTCTTTCACTTCAGGATAAAATAATCAGGATTACATTTTTATGTTTTATGGTTGAATAATTTCCACTGAACACATTTCTGAGGAGGGTATAATGTAGTTAAAAACAGAGATGTTGTGTAATGGAGAATTCTCCAGAAAATAGTGTTCTTGTTGGTAAATAATGATTGGGTACGGATAGCTTTATTAAAATGGAAACATTTATAAAGCTATTAGATTAACTGTGTACAAGACAGCTATGACTTCTAATACTGAAAACAGAATTTAAAGTTTAACCTTCCCCTGCCCCCAAATCAGATTACATACTATGAAATTTGTTTAAATTTTCTACAGATTCCTGCAGTTTAGTATTTCTCAGTATGATTGGCATTGGTCACAAAACCCTCAAGGTATCCATTGGAAGTTCACGCTTCCTATTCTCATGACATGATTGCTTTATAGGAAAACATTGTCAGCAAACCAGTACATATGGATCAGTTTCTGGCTTAACCCTATCTCAAGGACTGTACATGGTTAACATTTAAATTTGATTTTAAAAAGAAAATCTCCTCTAGTACTTAAAATAACTCCCTGGTTTGAATGTCTCCCATCTCACACCTATCAGCCCATGCAAATAGTGGCTCTAGAACCCAGAATTTATTATTAGAGAATGCTAGATTTACTAGAAGCCAGTTCGGGTACCAAAATTTCATGCTTAATACTGTTCTAGGGAAGTGCCTGGAATAGAACAGATCCTTTGTTTTCAGATCAGAACAAACCAGCCCTATTCCTAATGTCTGAATGGAAAAATTCAGCAGCATAGCTATGGAACTAAGTTTGGAATAGTTGGAATAGTTTGATGAAAAAACTTGGTTTTCATGGCTTTAGGAGGCAATAAGAACTTGGAATCAGCTTCTTTCTCTCACGTTTTACATCCAGAACCATCCAGAATAAATAAGGGGACAAGTGCTACCAGCTAGCTAACTTATACAAAGATTGGAGAAAGGAACATTAAAAACAAAACCACGGGAACTCCCTATAAGAATGTCTAAGGCTAACTAAATCATTTAATTCTGTAAAGAAACATCCTAAGGTGCTCAACTAAAAGATGAGAGAGAGAGAGAGAGAGAGAGGGAGAGGGAGAATTTTTTTTTCATTAGCATTCTTTAACACTATTTGACACGTCACAGCACAAGCTGCCAGCTAAGCCGGAAGCAACTAAATGCAGGCCAGACACAGAGACACTTGATTTACTGTATGTTTTCTCATTCCTGTTGGATTTGTTGCTGCCTTGATTCAAATAATTTAAAAATAATTTTTAAGTAATGCAGTTTATTACAATTTTTGCTTGAATGAGTAGAAAAACATGAGGATGTTTATAGACTAGCAATAATATAGTATTGCCCCAGTGGGCCAAAAACCACAGAAATACATTCTGAAAAGCTGTGATAGGACAAGAGTCAGCACATACACATTCCTAGACCCAACACAGCAAACATTAAGCAGAAGACAGGCACAGAACAAGGGAGAGTATGAACCTTCCCAAACAATCTTAAATAGTGTCTTTACTTTCACTTCTATGCCCTCTGAATATTCAGTCGGTCACATAAGGGTGCACAGAGCAGAATCTCCTTGATATCTGAATAAAGCAGCCAAAGTCAATGTTAACAGAATAACAGAGTTGGAAGGGATCTTGGAGGTCTTCTAGTCCAACCCTCTATACCATTTCAGACAAATGGTTATCCAATCTCTTCTTTAAAAAAAACCCAGTCTTGGAACATCCACAACTTCTGGAGGCAAATTGTTCCTCTGATTGTTGAACTCTCAGGAAATTTCTCCTTAGATCTAGATTGCTTCTGTTCTTGATTATTTTCCATCCATTGCTTCTTGTTCTGCCTTTGGATGCCTTGGAGAATAGCTTGACTCCCTCTTCTTTGTGGCTGCCCCTCAAATACTGGAATACTGCTATCATGTCATACCTACTCCTTCTTTTCATTAAACTAGACATACCCAATTCCTGCAACCGTTCTTTAT